CCCGCCTTGCCTGGGCAGCACGGGCGCCCCCAGCGCCCTTTCGTCAGCGTCGCGCCGGCGACCCCTCGCGCGCGCCGTCCGGCCCTTCCTCGGCGGGGCGGTGGATGGATCCCGCAAAGGGCAATCCCCACCGAGCCGCAGCGTGTTGGGCTCGGTCGGCCACCCCGCCCAGGTCGCCGCCGTAATTAGGGTCCGTAGCCTCGTCGCGGGTGGTTCTTCTCTCCTGGTCCCTGGGCTGGCCTGTCTGCTTGCGGTTGCTCCCCCTTCTCTCCTCCTTGTCCTCCTCCTTCCTCCCTCCCTTTCTGCTCGCCGCTTCCCCCCCTTTCCTTTCCTCCTGCTCCCTGCCTGCTGTCCCCGTCTGGCCCCTCTCCCGCCTGCCCACCAACCCCGCCGGCCCTGGCCTCCCGCCTGGGCGTTCGTCGTCGTCTGCTTGCTTTTCCCCTCCTCGTTCCGTTCCGCCGGGTAGCGCGGCCTGCCCAGGACCAGCGTGGCGCGTGCACATGTAGTTGCATGGTTCTTTCAGTGTACGGCGCAGCGATGCTGCGGCAGGAATGAGCTGTAGTTCTGCCCGTTTGCGTCGTTGGTTCTTGGCGGTTGTGACGGCGAGGCCGGTTCAAGGATGTCTGAAAGTATGATATTCGCATGTGGGCAGCGTTGTGCCACTGCCAAAACGGAGTTATGTTCAGTAGCCTGTGAGGTTTGAGGGTCGTCTGCGCCTACCGCCCTCCACTGCGTGGCGAATGCTTCCCTTGCTGGTGTGATGTTCGCAACGTCCCAGCCAGCTGCGTGGAAGGTCATTGGCCGTCTTGAAGACAGGTGCCGTCCGTGAAAACATCCGTTGTGAACGCCTCCTCGATCGAGAGACCGTCCTGCAAACGCCAATATTGATAAGTGTTCGTATCCGACCCTTCCATCGGAATGGCCACGGGCTCGGGGCCCTGATGAAATCCACCAGCACAAGGAAAGTTACGATGCGGATCCTAGATCACATCCTTGTCCGCTTCAATGAGCAGTTCGTTTCGGATTCGGCAGGTGCATGGGCAGTGGTGCAGCTTGTGTAAGATAGAATCTGAGGGCCCTCCGCACATGCACCTGGAGTCCATCTGGGCCGTCCACAGGGCCTGACATATGAAGTTAATCAGCGAACCGCACTCGTGGCGCGGCAGGCTGTACTCTGCGATGGGGCGCATTGCTGTGCTGAAGTCTGGCGCGTCAGCCAGAAGGCCGATCTTTTGGGCGATGGTCGGTGCGTTCTTTTGCGCCAGTTGCTCATGAGGCTTCATCTCCGAGGACTTGTGGGAGAAAGTCGTGAAATGCCAGCGTTGGGGATATGGAGGCCCTACCCTATGCTGATTCAGGGAAGCATTGCAGCTCCAAGCGGCCCGCGTACCTGCGACCATGTCGCTGGCGGCCTAGACAGCATGGTCTGAGCGAGCTGGAGGGGACGAAGGATGGGGTAGTTGTTGTCTCGGGAGTGTTTCGCACTCGCCTTCCAAACGATCTTGGGCCACAAGAGGGCGGGCGTTAATCCCTGGCGCCACGTTGGGTCGGCGTGCACAGCGAGGGAGACCGAATGCGATCGGGAGTCCCCTCGGGCTCCAGTCAACTTGCGGAAACAGGATTGTGCTGCCGAGAGCTCCGCTAGGTCCGCTCCCGCCACAACTGCACCGCACATGCTGAATTGCCTTGGGCCTCTTGTGTAAATCATTCGCAGGTCTGTTCCTGCCATGCGACTGGCCATCAGGCGGCTGCGGAAGAGGAAACGTAAGAGGCGGAGGAGGAGGAGGATGAGGAGGAGGGGGACGAGGAGGAAACGGAGGAGGAGGAGGAGGAGGAGGAGGAGGAAGAGGAGGAGGAGAAGGGGAAGGAGGAGGAGGATGATGAGGAGGAGGGGAAGGCGGAGGAGTAGGATGATGATGATGCTGATGATGATGCTGATGATGATGATGATGATGATGCTGATGATGATGATGACGATGCTGATGCTGCTGCTGCTGCTGATGATGATGATGATGATGATGTTGATGATGATGATGATGCTGATGCTGATGCTGATGAGGATGATGATGATGATGATGATGATGATGACGATGATGATTATGATGATTATGCTGCTGATGCTGATGATGATGATGATGATGATGATGATGCTGATGATGATGATGATGATGATGATGATGATGATGATGATGATGAGGAGGAGGAGGAGGAGGAGGAGGAGGAGCAGGTTGGGGATGATGATGATGATGAGGAGGAGGAGGAGGAGGACGAGGAGGAGGAATACTATGAACAATCATGAAAAAAAGGAGGAGAAGGAGGAGGAGGAGGAGGAGGTGGGAGGGAGGAGGAGGAGGAAGGAGGAGGAGGAGGAGGGAGGAGGAGGAGGAAGGGAGAGGGAGGAAGGCGGAGGAAGGAGGAGAAGGAGGAGGAGAAGGAGGCGGAGGAGGAGGAGGAGGAGGAGGAGGAGGAGGAGGAGGAGGAGGAGGAGGCGGAGGAGGAGGAAGAGGAGGAGGAGGAGGAGGAGGAGGAGGAGGCGGAGGAGGAGGAGGATGAGGATCCCCTCTCCCCCATTGGCGCTTGCCTCCCCACTTCCCATGGCTGCAAGGTTGTAAGGTGCACGGGCAATATGCCTCGCCGCGAAGCGGCTGGCCCGCATTTCGGGCCGATCTCCTCTTCGGGGAGAGGCCAGGGCTCGGCAGCCTCGGCCCTGGCGGGCTTTGCTGCCCGCCTCGGCCTCCGCTCTTTAGCCAATTCGACCGCCGAATCGGGCGTCTCAAAACCGTGGAGTCCCCCCCCTCCCCTGGCCCGCCCCCGAGGCGACCAAACAACAACCGACACCACCCCACCTGCGGCCCTCCATGTTGCGCTGCGGCCCATCGTTCGCCGCAGCGTATACCACGCAAACGCCCACGCCAGATCTCCTGGTACAGGCTACGCACTGGGGCCGCAGGTGGGGTGGTGTCGTTTGTCTTCTGGTCCACCGAGGAGTCGTCAAGCCACGGCTCCGCCAGCGGGCGGGGGCCCCCGGGACGTGCCGGAGCACCTGAACTGTACCGCAAGGCGCTTCATCTCGGGCAGCGCCAGGGGGGGGGGGGCCCAGCGGGGAGAGCCCAGACAGCCAACGTCTTGACAAGTCAATGGGGGCGCTCACATGGACGAAGGCGCGTGGATTAGCGACGGGTCCCGTTTCCACGCAAACTCGGCGCGCGCTGTCGCCAAATGAGGCGGCAATGGCCTCATATGCTGGGGGATCCTTTCCCGATCCATGGCTCTGGCGCCCACGCACCATATCCACGGCCCCCCCTCCTCCCGTTGCCCCTCCTCCCTCCTTCCATTCCTGCCCCTGCCGTCCGCATGCACATGTCGGCACACCCTTCACACTTTTCGCGGCCCTCAGGGGAGCTCCACCGAAGCCCTCAGGGGGTGGGTGGGTCGCATGCGGTTCCCCACCCATTTCGACACGGCACACCGCTCACACGATGTGTGGCCCCATAGGGAGCACCACCGAAGCCCCCAGGAGGGAGGTTTCGCATGCGATTCTAATCCATGTCGGCACACCCCTCACACGTTCCGTGGCCCCATCGGTAGCTCCATGGAAGTCCTCGATGGGGGGGGTCGCATGCAAAGGCCAAGGAGTGGGCCTTTGCATGCGGTTTTCACGCATGTCGGCACACCCTTCACACGTTCCGTGGCCTCATAGGGAGCTCCATTGAAGCTTGCAGGAGGGGTGGGTTACGCATGCGGTTCCCCACCCATGTCAGCACACTTTCGGGGCCCCAGTATTGGGAGCTCTACCGAAGCCCCCAGGAGGCAGATTTCACATGTGGTTCTCACCCATTTCGGCACAACTCTCACGATTCGTGGCCCCATAGGGCGCTCCACCAAAGCCCTCAGAGGCGTCGGGGTTTGCACGCCATTCTCACCGATCGCGGCGCACCCCTCGCACGTCTCGTGGTTCCATAGCGAGCTGCACCGACGGACCCAGGACGGGCGTTTCGCATGCGCTTCTCACCAGTTCCAGCACACCCCGCACACGTTGCGTGGCCCCATAGGGAGATGCCCCGAAGCCCTCAGGGGAGGGGTCGCATGCAGTTGCCACTCGTTGCGGTGCACCCCTCACACGTCTCGTGGCACCACAGAGGGGGTTTCGCATGTGGTGCCCTGAGGGGCAGGGGTTTCGCATGTGGTGCCCCAGCCATGTCAGCACACCCCTCGCACGTTTCTGTGGCCCAGAGGGAGCTCCACCAAAGGCCCCAGTGGCTGGGCCCGCATGCCCCCCCAGGCCCATGTTGGCACGCCCCCCACATGTGTGGTGGTCCCATATGGAGCTCTACTGAAGGCTGGATTCACAAGGTCGGCACTCACGTCTGCACATGGCTGGGTCCTTTGCCAGGATGACTGAACCTGCAGGGCCTTTTTCAGCCGACGTCGTTTTCTGGTGGCCCCGGAGCGTCCACAGCGGTACCCAGAAGTTGAAGCCGCCAAAATTTGCGTCCGGGCTGGCAGGGCTTCGGGTTGCGCACAGACAGCCCCCCCAGGTGGTCCGGCTGGTCTCGACAGCCCCCCCCGAGTAGCCTGGGGCAGTCTCAACACCTCAACACTGGGGCGCAGAGCGCCCCAGGGGTGCCGCTGGAGGCGGCGCCAGGGTATTGAGACCGCCCCGGGCTGCTCGGGCGGCCTGTTGGAACCAGCCAGGAGTGCCTGGGGAGGCTGTCTGCGCGCCACCCGAAGCCTGACCAGCGCGACCCTTCGCTTTCGGGTCATAGCTCCGCTGTCCAGCGGCCTTTCGGGACGATCTGGGCATCCCCATACAGCGCTCTCGGCGAGGCGTAGCTGCCGGAGACCCTTCCGAGGCTGTGAAGCCGCCGAGAAGCTACGAAAACCTTCGAAAACCTCGAATCTCGAACGCCCGAAAATCATTCCATCGAAGGCCCTCCCTGAATGGTGACCCCCCCCTTTGGCATTGCCCGATCATCGACGTCGTCCTCGGCGGCGTCGAG